CTCTGATGAGAGCACACAACCTCTGGCAATTAAAAACAAAAACCACGCTGCTCACAACTGCCAACTTGTTTCCTCTGGGACGTTCCCTCCACTATCGACATTATACTATTACTCCCCATTGGTTTTCTTCCTCCTCTGATCACTCTTCCACGGGTTCTTTTCCTTCATATCTCCTTTCTTCAAGAAATTTCATCTGATTTAACAGTAAATATGAATGAGTTACTCTAAAAGCTGGGCTCCCCACGGAGCTCCAGATCTGGGCCACCGTGGCCTGTTTGTAAGCCACATGCACAAGAGTCACCTTCTTATACCCTCTCGATCTGGGAAGGTTATCTTGGACTGCGCTCCCTCCCTCGTCCCACGTGCATCCTGCGGCATTAACATGGTGCATCTCTGGAATTCGTTTGCGATACTTATCCTTGGCCCTTCGCCTTCATTCAAGCCCACAGCAAACCGAGCCTGAGCTTCTAAGCCTCCTGTGGCCGATCTGCGTACCTGCCCTTCTCCAATCCTGCCAGCAGGGGCTCTCTAAAACCCAGCATTGAGCACATTTACTCCCCAACGGGATTATAACCTTTTGTCGGGGGACCAGCAGAGGGCATAATGGCCATGTCGCTGGACTCCCACGTAGTGGACCCTGGTTCGAGTACCAGACCCAGTGGCACCAGGTGCATGTGTGTATCCCATAGCCATGCCCCCCCCCAAGGGGTGATCTCTCACTTTCTATCTCTCTCTTTCAAGCGAGTGTATATACCCTTTAACAAAAATCTCTCTTTAAAGAAAAACCTTGTGTTGGCTCCCCATAGCCCAACTCTCTGTGACATACAAGTCTTTAGGAGTGGGCCCATCAGTCCTCCTGCCCACCTCTGCCCCCTACATTTTTTTTTTTTGGAGACGTTTTTGCTATAGGGCGCGTGCGCTCGCCACACAGACAGAGAGAGACAGAGAGACAGAAAGCGAGAAATCACCCCCCGGGGGGATGGTCACGCTGCAATCCCTTCTCCTCCATTCTCCTCTCGGGATCTTGGGCATGCACGCACACGTGCCCGGCGTGAGTTTTAAGCCACCGGGTCCGGCTAACTGCTGGTTCCCTGCTCCCTCCATTTCAACAGTCAGAACTGCCCTCAGCCTCTCCATCCCCCTGGCTATTTCAGACCCAGGACTATTTGCCTTGCTGACAACCCTACTTACCTTTTAGCACTGGATTCGAGTTTCACCATGTCTTTATCTCTTTAAAACAAATTACACACACACACACACAATTATTGAGTTCACGAGGAAGAGCAATCTCAAAATATGTAACCACTGATGAAGCACAGACACCCACCCATCAGAATTAATTAACACAACCTTGGAGCTATTGCACTTCAGTCTCGTAGGCCCCTGCTGGGCCAAGATATGAACCCATTAGTGGCTGGACTGTGAAGAGATCTCGAGGCCCAGAGAGAGGGCACTCAGCACTCACGGCCGCAGTTACTTTCCAAGCAACACGGAAGTATGTATTTCGCTCTTCTAACGTCTGGTACGGCTGCACATGCAGGAGGCCTGGAGCGCTTACCATGCGCCAGAGGCTATGCCGAGCCAACCCCGACAACCACCTTGTGAGGTGTCAGCATCTCCACCACTCCTTCTTCTCCAGCTCCGTCACTATTCTGCTGGTTGCCCCAGGTCACGTGGTAAGGGATGGCGCAGTCTCATCAGTGTGCTGACCATCCTGCCTGATGAGCTTTTTTCTCAAAAAAAAAAAAAAAAGATATTTTTGCTTGAGCTTTTTTTAAAAATAAGATATTTTTGATTGGGACCAGCAGTTAGCATAATGGCTGTGTTGCTGGACTCCGGAGTTTAAGCCGCCGGGTCTGGGACTTGAACCACAATCAACTATGTGGGAGACAAGCAATGTCACCATCATGCCCTGCCTGATGGTCCCTGCCTGAGTTTTATGGCAGCCTCTTATCGTGAAGCTAGATGTGCAGTTTAATCCACACCTAAAATAACTTGGGCCTATTCTTTGTCCAAAGGACACAATAATCTGATGTTCCCTGAAGGCTCCCATCACCCACGGGAACATCTGGGGGACTTCCCACAGGCCTCCGCAAACCTGTTTTAACCATTGCTAGCCCAACCCCAGCAGGACTGGCTCTTCCCTCCTCTTGCCCCATCACACCTGGTTTATGACAGATACTAATTCACACGACCAAAATCCCCACGGGTCTGCTGGTCCAGGGCTCTGTCCTATGGATCTTTAATCCATGTGCTTAGCAACACGTCTGGTTAGGGATCCAGTAAGTGTCCTGGGTGAATGAATGAAGACACACAAACGAAGCTACACTGTAATTGCTATTTGGGTTAAGACTTCTTTATGCGAATTCACAAAACATGCCTTTTATTTTTTTCACTACTTCAATTTATATCTAATCATTTACCTGACACCTATAGATACTTTCGACTATAATATTCAATGCTGGAGGGACCAGCAGGTGACATGGTGGTTAAGGTGCAGGACTCTCACATGGCTGGTCATGGGTTGAGTCCCAGACCTAGTGGCTTTCTTTCTCCCTTCTCTCTCTCTGATGAGCACATGTGCCCTGTAGCAAATTAAATAATAATAAATTAAATAATTCTTTAAAAAAATCAATGGAAACCTATTACACCTCTCCATAGTCTGAGACTAGAGACTGCAGAGATGATGGCAGGAGGGACGGCAAAAACATACCAAAGCAACCCACTGAATTTCATTTCATTTCATCTTCTACCCTCGTGGGTGTTTATGCTGTTCAGCAGCCTCCTCAAGAGGGCAAAAGCTTAGACTTAAAATGATTGTGAAATAAGAACATTTCTTTTTAAATAATATAGAAATGGTTTAAAGGGCCTGTACTGTTTGCAAACGACTTCAGGAAAACCATCAACCTCGGAGTTGTGAGGCCTTGAAGATGCTGCCCCTGGGACCCAGAAAGATAACTGGAAATTCCAGCCAGTAAGGAGGGTGTGAAGCCACATGCACAGTCAGGTCCCAGCCCTCTTCCACTCCACAGACCTGGGAGAAAAGACTCCCTGCAGCCACAGGCTCCGAAACAGGACAGCAGGCGCTGTTCCCGTGTGGGCCTGCACTGATGTTGGCGGGGGAGACAGTGCTGTTACGGTTAAGAGCGGGGACTGTGTTCAAGTCTCAGCCCTGCCTAGCTAATGATCCTGCATGGTGCGTCTCCGCCAGCTGCCCTTCTGCAATGGGGGTTGATACTGCCTGCCAGGGATAGAAGGGGAACGGTGTCCTGTAACACACAGTGCCCAGCACAATACCAGGCACACACTACTCGACAAACAGCAGCGGCTATTAGGCAGTCGGCAACTCAGGGGAACAAAGGAAACACACAGGTGTGCACCGGGGCTGGCGGCTGCCGAGGGCCTAGGACAGTGGGCCTCCATCCTGACTGCACATTGGAATCAGCCAGGGAGCCTTTAAAATGCCAGGGCCAACCTCCTTACAGCAGTTTGATCTGAATTGTGTGTGTGTGAGTTGGGGGGGTGGGGGGGAGGCATTGTCTTAAAGCCCTCCCGAAGATTCTAATAGGCAGTGAGAGTGGAGGTTCTCTGCTGAAGTTAACAAAACTGGAGATAAGCAATAACCTATAAACAGCCTGCCTATGGAGTCCATCCGATCACCCTAGGCCCAAAGCCGAGGCCATTTTGGTTGTAGGATTTTTTTAAAATAGTCTGAAAGTGGAAAACTTCTATTTTCTTTTCTTTCTTTTGCTAACGGGAGGGGCACGTGTGCTTGCTGGAGGAGAGACAGAGAAAGTGTGCGTGCATGCACACGAGCACACACAGACGTGCACACACACTCCCCGCGTAGCATGGCAGTCCTTTCTCCTCCATTTCTCCCTCTTTTCAGGATTTCACACATGCACACACACATGCTTGGTGTTTTTCAAACCAGGCCTGGGACTTGAACTCCTCCGTCAGCCATATGCGATCCAGCCACCTTAGCCACCATGCTAATGGCTGGCCCTGAAACCTCTTCTGTTTTCTAATCCTACATATGGCATGTTATTAAAACACATCGTAATGACTGAATTCTCAGAAAGCAATAACTCTGGAAAAGTCATAACAAAGCTCAAGTGTTTATTAAGAATTAAAAATACTGTAAATAAGCCATACAGTTCATTTCACAGTAAACTAAACAAACCTTTTTTTTTTTTCTTTGATTTTTTGGGTTTTTTTTTTTTTTTTTTTTTTTTTTTTTCCAAGGGCAAGACAGCCATTAAAGAACAATACAGCTCAAAGAGTACAGCAAACAGTTACAGAAATGCAGTGCACACGGCCCTCCATGACAACGGGCTCTACCAGCTGCAAACCCCTTCATGGACCTCGTGTTAAAATAAAAAGATTTGGCCTCCATGCCCCAGGGGGACACCCCGTTCCTTCGTGGACAGCTCTCCTGATATGTTTCTTCAAAGACCCTAAAGATTCCCCTTCCTAGAATTCTAGTCTATGATTATCTGGGAACCCTCCTGTCTGAAGTTTGACCCAGGCCAGTAAAAGACGGAAGGGCACTGAGGGGCAGACAGAAGGGCACCGGGGACTCTGCTGAGTGTTGTGCTTTCACATTCAGAACCGTCTGGATTCTTTGCATAGTTATCTTTGATATCCCTAGATGATTCAGGACTGGAAAAGACGCGCACACCAAGGGAGGTGACCAAGGACTAGCAGATTCTTTTAAAATAAAGACCTAAAATAAAGACCCAGGGGCTGTTCTTGAACCCTCCTGATTCAGAGCTGACATCTGTGAGTTTTAACCAATCCAAAATGGAAGACAAGTGAGACATAGCTCATGAAAATTTCAGCCACAAGTGTGTGTGTGTGTGTGTGTGTGTGTGTGTGTGTGTGTGTTTTAAGTAAAACTAATTTCCCTTAAAGACAATTAGGAGAAAAGTGCCCCTTACCCACCCACTCATTCCCCCCCCCCCCTTTTTTTTTTTTTAATA